CTTGCTGCTTTGATTTTCGTTTGTGTCCAAAAACATCMTATTCTGTTCTGGTGTTTGTTTGTTAACGTGTACCTCTTCTCCTTCAAACCACTTTCGTCTTTTTTCCATCGTGATTCGTGCTATGTCCTTGAAATGCATCGACACTAGAGGCTCCTTAGACACAACAAAGCTTTTGTTCTGTTTATTTTCTTCTTTCYCCGATTGTTCTTTAGGCTTAGATTCACCAAAAGAACTTTTCTTCTTTAAWATGGATTTCACTTTGACATCAAATGATCCATAATGCACTGCGGGTTGTTGGGAAGTTGTTTCCAGACTTTGAAAGTTCAGTAGGTCTCGTGTGTTTCCGATAGGCCCTAAAGTGTGCGAACGCTGGCGGAAGACCGTACTAGATTGACTTGACATTGTTGTGGTTTTCTCAGCAACACTGAATGATAGTCGTTTGGTCTTCTTTCGATTGCTTTTCAAACTTTCACTCATTTGCCTCGATATCAGCCTACTTGACGAAGGCGAGCTTTGAAAAAAAGAYTCCTCCGATTCAATGCTTTGTTTGTGCGACTTTGAGTCTCGTGTGCGTATMTCTGCYACAAAGTCTTGAATTATMCGTCGACACTCCTCATCACTCCGTTCCTTMCGCGCTTTWTCCGAATARTCTTTTAGAATGTTTTTGGCGCTTTGGTCGTCGGAAGATTCGTTTTTCTTGATTCTGCTGACAAATCGTCTTAAGTTGTTAACCGATGAGATATAGGAGAGCCTTCTTCGAAGAGTGGCAGTGTCAGCTGCAAGCCACTCACGAGGATCTTTGGGAGTCTCTGAATCACCTAAAGAATGGAACAATGTTTTACTATTCAGTTTTCTGCCAACATTTTCCAATTTAATATTACAAAGATCACGAAAAAAACTTCATTTATATTGTTTATGGAATATGAATAGTCCCGKTTTGGCTGAYCCATTCATGGGAACAACCGAAATCCAGTKAGAAATACAGAAGTACACTATACTAACCAGAAAGTTGTTCCTCTTCCATTTGCTTGGCAAGTTTTCGTTCTTTTTGCTGTTTTTCATAAGTCTTTGTTGCGATCTTTTCCATGTGCATCTTTTCATCAGGGTAAAATTCCAAGACTTCCTCYAGATCATCCTTTGACAGACAGAAAAGATCGGTGAAACCGACGGATCGCACCGAAGCCGTCCGACGATCGCCTATTCCTTTCATGTTTAGCAAGCTGATCTCTCCAAAATGGCTTCCCGCTTTCAATGTAGCAAGGATYTTCTCCTTTTCATCCAAGACCTCGACACGTCCTTTGTTCACTATGAACATCTCGCGTCCTTTTTCACCCTCTTTGCAGATGAAATCACCCGGGGAGCACACCATTGGCTTGAGCTTTAACACAAGGTCGTGCAAAAACCCAGGATCACAGACTTTGAACATCTCGACTTTTATTAACGTTTCTAAATTCACGTGTATAGCTATTTCGGCTCTGAAGTTGTCGTTGAGTTTAGCAAAGAGTTGGTCTTCGTCCATGTCTCGTTTTTGGGTCCACAGATAGTCGAACCATTGAATGACACGTTTTGTGAGCTGGGCTGGAATTTG